TTATAATCTCACTCAAAATTTTTAATGATAGAACTTTTTGTTTCAGGGCTCTATTCTTAACTATAGACAAATAATTGGGGCTTCAGAGATGCTTTGGAGATATATTTTATAGAACTATTTTTAATTAAATTATACTTTTTTCAGCCTCTCCTAAAACTGTTTCAAGACTGGCTGATACAAGCCTCTTATAGGTCTTCTGAAGCTGTAGGTATGATTTTTTTGGTTTTGGTGGCCTCATGTCATGTCATATCAAATATATTACAATCTATCTTTGTTCCATAGTGAGCATAACTTTAAAAATTGGAAGAGGGCTTATAAATTTGCCCTTTTATTTCATTATATTTTCTGTGATTTTTTTTCAACAATTATCAAGCATACTTGAGGCTACTTACAAAGGAAGAACATCTTAAATATAAAAAGTTTTCAATTTAGCAATTTAATATGATTGAAAGGATAAATGTAATACACATTTAGCTAGATGCTTACTAATTTCCACTGGCATAACATTTTAATTGTATTATAGAAACTACCAAAATTTTCACAACTTAGATATTTTTTTTCCAGTTTGGGAAAATTGTATTTGCATTTTCTGAGCAATGTATTGCCTAAAGGCTATATCAGCCCCTGATGTGTGTACTCTAAATATTTACCAAGCATCTTGAATCCTCAATTCATAAACTTGGAACCAGAAACACCCCAGGACATTGATTTGGAGTCCCACCACTCTGCTTCCTAAGCATTCAATACATATGACCATCATTATACTCATCAAGTTGTTCAACAATCATTAATTACGTATCTGACTTCCTCAGTAAGACAAAAGAAAAGAGAAGCACATTTGTTTGTTTACTGAAACATACATTCATTCCAACATAGACATTCACTTGTAACATATATTCATTATTTAGTTTTGCACTGTTCTGTCCCGGGGATAGAAAAAAAATGAACAATTTCCAGCACCCCCAGTAGATTATATTTTAATTGAATATCTAATTTTAATTTTTCACTTAAATCATTTCCTGGTACTTTAGACATGTTTAACAGGTATTGTTAAGTGCATAAACAAAYAAATATAAAAATTGTTTATGTTTAAAGATAAAAATGTTGAAATTACTTAAGTTCCCACATTTTATACACTTTAAATATTCAGAACACATATTTTCAAGTTATTATGAATATAATACATAATTACATCTAATTCTAATGAAAGCCATTCAGAATTCTTCATGATAAATGAAATTGAACCTCAATTGATTAGTTTTTAATTTATTCATATTCATTGCCCAAATTATCTCATCTTCCCATCCTCCCATGAGAGAAAGACAGAATAGGGAGGAAGAAGGAAGGAAAAGGGAAAAGAAGATGCTTGAAATTTAAAATGAACTTTTTTAGCAATACCAATGACTGCTTTAAGCCTTTCCAATAAGTTCAGTGTAAGTTTTTTAAAAAATGGCCACTGTAAGATTCTGTTCTGCTAACTCCTAGTAAATCATTGCTTAATGAAACAGGTACAGCAGAAAGCAGAATGTTTTATTTGTTCTTAGTTTATCTCTGTAGGAGCTAGCACACATTATATTTGTCAAAGTCACTATACATTTAGAGTTTCCAGGAGAATGCTGGGATCAAAGAAAAGAAATAGATAAGATAAAGAATGACAATCTATTTGCAAAAGGARTTTCCCATTTAAGTTTCACTTGTTACTATCATTTTAGAACAAGTTAAAAGTATGCTTGTTAGGAATCTTTACCTGACACTAATGGAACCTCTTTTGACAGAATTTTTTGTAGAAAAATTATATGGTGTGAATTGGAAAAAAAAAAAAAAAAAGAACTGTCAGATTGGATCGGTTATTTTGTAACTGCAGGTGCCTGCTTGGCTCATATAGTCTTCCCAAAGATAGGGGGGAAAACCTCATCTATGCCAGCACATTCTTGACATTATCAAAGAAGATGAAATTTTTTATTCTGTCATACAAATATATTTAACACAGACGTAACTATTGAACAATACTCTGCATATTAGACTAATGTTKTTTAGCCAACATGATGGTTGTATGGTCAGTTCGATAAAGATATCTGAAATAGCAAAATCTCCACTGTGTGAATAAGATTTTTAAATTACATTATCCATTTTAGAAAAAATATTTYTTTTYYWAAAWKKTTYMAMMWWAMCMA